AGTGCCTCCAGCTTCAGATCCCTCCCACTGTCACCAGAAACTGTACTACTAGTCTCTAAGTCTTCTCCTACTACTGTAAAGGACCTTGCAGAGGAAGATTTTGCTCCAAAAGCAGTCTAGCAGGAGAAAAACACAGCCTAAATAAAGTGGTAGATTCACTTCTTTCCTTCGTGGCCCCACTCAAGCTCTCAATTGGCCATGGTGACTCAAAGTCATTCCTTCAGTCTCATACCTGACCATCATCTCAACTGCAGTGTCCTTGCAAGCACTCTCCAAATATTGGATCCTGTCTCCACCACTACACTCAAAAGCACTTATCACAATTCTGCCTGGACTGTGAGAAAGAAAAGATATAATGGTCTAGGGAAAGAATCAGTATCTGATAGGGCTATCTTATTCTTCCTGCTGATTTTTATTGGACAAACAAGTGAAACAGAGCATTTTAATACAGAGAAGATAGAAGTTTGTTTTCACTGATGACTAAAACAATCATTCTCACATGTACTCACATAAATACTAGCACTTCAAAGCAATTAAGCTGTTCACTGAACAGAAAAATGATTCTGTAATGTTTAGCAATTAAAGTATGATTGGCAGAGTCCAAAACATGATTAGGTTTCATCATTTGAAGAAAGGTTTAAAGAAGGTGCAAACGGTTCTTTTATTTATCCTTTATTAATATTTATCAAACTGTACAATCCCTTTATTTGTTAAATGCAGTTAATATCCTATCATTAGTTCATTGCAAAAATATTTTGCTTTACTGCTATCATTTTGTTTTTCATGCTTTACAAGGGTTACAACTGAAAGCAGCAAAAGTGTGATACACATTCACATTCCCCTGTTCACACCTACTGAACCAAGCATTTACATTTCATATGGGGGCATTAAACTAAACCACCTCTATGACTGTTACTGAGTTAGAGATTTGAGGCTTTAAATCAAGGGATAGTGTAAGGTGTACTTCAAATGAACACAGCTGTGAAGTCAATTTGACAGCAAATATAAATTCAATGTTCCTTGGTAAGCTCTACTTCTTCCTTGTGGTTTTCCACTGATAATGTCTTTATCATCATGCTGTGTAAAAGCCAACAAAAGTGCATGTCCCCATGGTACCTTACAAATATAAATTACAGTGCTTTACACTCACTGTGAGTGCCTGCTTAAGAGAAAAGGAGGATATTCTCTTGAGCCAGACAGCAGATAAACAGAATGGCAATTTGCATTACTACTTTCTGTACTGCATTATGATTTTTCTCATTTTATGTAAATATCTAGATCAATAATGGCCCACTAAGTTCTGGCTATTTTTTTGTGTTTGTTTTGCTTTTTTATTTTAATACCTGCTCTGCAGACAGTTTCTATTTTTCATCTCTTTGGTGGTCCAGAAAGTGCATTTCAAAATCAAAAGAAATTATTAGAGATGGAATAGAGTATACTATCATCGAGGACATAAGAGAGGATCTGTAGACCTGGAGCCAGAATTCTCAGTTGTACAGATAACAGCAGTGAGCATCAGATGTAATGAAAGCAGTTGTGCTACAATTGCAGTTTGACATAGCACAAGTATGAGGGACAGAGTTGGGAGGGAAAGGACAGTGTACCTGCTGCATTTTAATGGAGCTTGCTGTTGTTTTGGAGAAAGTGATGTAGGGCAGTCACATAACCTTCTGTCAAAGCATAGTCAGACACCAGCAGAAACCTAGAAAGGTGTCAAGCATCAAGTCTCCTACTCAAGAGGAGCCTGCAAGAGACAGATGTGCAATTTTCCCAAACAGTGGTCAGCAGTAGCTTCAGATGCCTCCATTACAGTTATTAAAATGAGAATTCCAGTTCTGAGAATGGGTTTGTCTGGCAAGGAAAAGACACAGGAAAGTAAGAGGAAGGATACTTGAGGCTTTGGGTTTCAAGTTCACATGTGTATGTGAACCATCATCTATCCATCCTCTTTTTAGCTGCATTTTCTGAGGGTTTCTAGGATTAATGCTATCATAAAAACCATTCAGAGCAAAGGATTTTTTAAAAACAGATGCATTTTGTCACATGAATGTCTTTCATGTATTTTGGACGCTCTTCTTGGTTATAATTATTGTGGGGTAAACTATATGGTGAAGTCTGTAACAACTATATTTCTGTGAGACTTTTCTTTAAGCATTTGCTTAAACAAGGTACGATGTTAATCATGTACATCTTATGTGGCGTTTAGTCATAGCACATTTCTAATAATGCCTCCCAAAAACATATGTAGAATTTACACTCTCATACAGTAAGATTTATTCCTGTACATTTAGGACTGGAAGATAAGCATGGTAAAGTCCAGAAAGCTCTTCCCATAAACCCTGTGAGAAGGAAATTATTTAATGTTGGCTTTCCAATGTTATATACAAAGTAATAGTGTATGGTTAAAATTAATTTAATGTAGTAGAATTTGAACTTGGAAAAAATTGCCAGAAGCATTATACTAGAACGATAATAACAGTAGCAATAGCGTTCTTGGAAGACTGAAATACACTGTTATGTCTGAGAAGAGTGTTTCCAACAACTCATGCTCAAAAAGACATCCAATAGTGAAAAAAGAAGAAATAATTTCAGGTGGAAAATGAACGAATAAATATTCCATAAACTCTCTCCATCTTTTTTTTTCAGAGATTATGATGGCAATTAGGACAGTTTATAGAATTGTCTATGGATGCCAAGTCTATATGCTCATTTGAGTTATTAAATTCCTAAAATGCATTATGTTCAAATCATACTTTCTAAAGTGGTTTTCTGTTAGAATTACATCAAATAAAAGCCTTATTGCTGGCTTTAACATAATTCAGTTCATCCTTGTTGTGTCAGGAGATGTTTTAATATATAAGGGGAAAGAAATGAAAAAAATGTTAAAAACCTACTAGTCATCATGAGGGTTTTTAAATATCATCAGCACCGCCATAAAGGCAGATGATAAACTGCACACTATTCAGAAGAAAGAAATAGAATGAAATTAGCATAGCCTTGGATTCCTGTAATTACAGGGAAAATAAATGTTTGACTCTTCCAGATGTTAATGTTTCCTCTCAAACTTTACCATTATTTGTAGTGAGAAGGGAATAAGAAATCCATGTACTGAAGGAAGAACACAGGAATATTTTGGACTGGTGGGGTTGCTAAATTTTTATCTGTTTCCAACCAACAGCAAAGCTGCATTGATGACTTGGGTCCAGATGGGTAGCAACATTAATGGTTCACAATAGTAACCTAATGAAGCCCTTTAGTGCTGTGACAGGTAAGGGCTTGAAAGGTTTATGGCAAGGGAAAAAAGCTTTGATAAATAACTTGAAAATCTGCCTCTTATTGCTTTCATAATTGTTGCTTCTTAAGGCTAAAAAAGAGGAACTCTCTTTGGATCTAATAGGATGTACAGTGGGATTTTTTTTTTATTTTCACTCTTTCTAAGATGAATAGCTAGTTAAAAAACATTAAGCCTCTCTCAGATTTAAGGGGTGAGTTTAAAGGTCTTTTTTATTATAGCTAGTCTCTCTAGAGATCAGACCTAAAACATAAGAGATGAAGATTTTTCTCTGTGCAAGTAGAGAATAATAGTTTCTAGATGATTTAACTTAAAGAAGAAAATTTGGGGACCTCTCACATGAGCTTTTCTCCCTAATCCTGGTTACTTGTGAAGACACAACCACACACCTGGTGCCCTCTTTCCAGTGAAGGGGAAATCTGATGCCTGACTTCTTCAAAGGTCAGGAGCACAGTCCTGCAGTGACTTGGATGTTTCTGGAAAACCAGGTTTTCAATAAATGGAAACTTTAATAGATTTTTTTTTTCAATGAAGGAAGAGAAAATTGGCTGAAACATCTGAAAGTTTTTCAGCCTTTGATCAGAAGTGCACCGGGTTTCATCAGCTGTTTCCTTTTTCAGTTATAAAACAAGATAGACTCTGCCCCACTCCCTCCCAAACAAAACAAAACAAAACAAAACAAAACAAAACAAAACAAAACAAACAAAAAAAAAAAAAAAAGAGCAGAAAAAAAAAAAAAAAAAAAATTTTTCCTGTCAAAATTTAAAAAAACAAAACATCTACATCTGCTAACATTTTCTGTCAGTTTTCCAAACAGATGTGATTAGGAAAGTGCTGTCAGTTTCCCTGTGGGTAGGTGGAGCTGGTGTGCCTTATGCCCCGCTGCAGCATCACTCAATGCCTACTTGAAGCTGGTAGCATTAATGGGTCACATAGCAGGACTCAGATATTTAGATGTAAACTGCCTCCAGCCTCTGCTGGAAGAATGAACCTCAAAAGTGTTGGCTAAGACTGGATTTTTGCATTTTCACAGTGTGGCTGATAAAGCAACAAAAGAAATCAAAGGATATACTGTTATATCCTATGGCAGGTACACAAAAACACTAGCAAAATAGGCAAAGTAAAAGGGAAGAAACTGAGGAAAAATCCATCAATCTGGTAACTATAGGCATTGCTGAAAGCACACAACCAATGGCAATGGAGTAAGGTATAAAAATAGTGTGATAGGGCTGAAGCAAAGAATTCTACATGCAATTTATTTTCAATTGAATGCTATTATGCAAATAAAGCATTTCATTGCAAAGCAGCCAAGATAAATTATTCTATTTCCTGTTGCTAAAATAGAAATTATTCAGCAGTTTGTTGCATTAGCATTATTGAGGGGAGATATATTTCAGCTTCAATAGCTCTTGCTTGATTTGCTGTTATTATTTTGGGCCGTACAGCCAACTAAAGACTGTTGCACAGTCCGGATTGGCCACTGCTGCAGGAACACTATTCTTCTTTTAACCTTCGATGGTTTAAGGTGGGAAAGCATTGTAGACATTTATATTTGTCTGATTTGTGAAAAATTCAAGTCATAGTCCTTTGTGAAAAATTCAAGTCATAGTCCTCTTGGCTCTTTTCCCCAGCTGTCTTGGTTTCTTTTTGAGGTTCTCCTGGAAGAAATTATATGCTTTCATACTAAAGCAAACATTTCATTTCTCAGTTTCTACAGATCAAGTGATGAAAAGTCATGTGTGAATCCCCTGAAGGCTGAGAAGAGAAACTCTGACTTCCTCACAGAAAATTGTGAACTGCAGTTTCTTACTGGCTGACAACACCTTTGATTCAATTTGTATGAAACTCAATTTGCTTATTAAAATGGACATTATTGTTCAGATATTAGAAACTCCATTTCTTATATGTTCTAAGCTGTACAATTGTCAGATTTTTATGGTTTAGATTGTAAATGTGGTTTTCTCTGGCTAATTATTGGTATTATTTTTTTAATTTTGATGTCTTAAAGGCCAATGTACTGTATCATAATAATATGAAGGACGTATTTAACAGGTGTGGAAAACACTGTATACAAATGTATATTTCTAAAAGCTATTTTTATGATTAGCACATTTTACTGTTTTACCATATTTAGAGTCAGGTGATATTGCACTTCTTTGTTTACTGCTTAGTTCAAACAAGACATTTTGATCAGTGCCACAATTAAATACATTGTATGGTGTTTCCCATTACTTTATTCAATTTGTTTGTCATTGGAAATAATTACATTTGGTAATAGAATAGCTTCTAAAAAGTGAAAATGTCAAAATAAGAGAGAAATCCTTGATAAACTGTAAATTGCATCCTCATGTAAATCCCCTTCTTCAGATAAGCCCTCTCTGTGATGCCATTCATCAGACAGTTCTTGCAAATCTCTAAAGGCAGTTTGTTCCTACCATATGGAAAGTCAGACAGCCTCCTGTCTAGCCAGGAAAATTACTTATAGCCTGCCAATATCTGACAGCATGAGATAGCCTACTTATTACTTTTTGGGTTATTTTCTGGCAGTAGTCTTTCCACCCACAAACTCCTAAGGCCCTCCTGAAAGCCTGAAATTGGAATAATTAATTACTACTGATGTTGTAGGGGGAATCTCAGTATAGAATTTCTTAATAAATCATATCTCCTTTCAAACAGAATGGATGCATTATTTCTCTTGTGTTACTGAGATATTAAAGGCAAAAAAGCATGAGCACATGGACTTCTTCCCCTAGAAAAGTACCAAATTTTTCACCATCCCAAAGTCAGACCTCTTTAGCATTGCAGATTACAAGAAACAAGGAATATGTATTTATTCATCTACATCTTTAAGCAAGTGGTACTCATATAGAAAGAGCCATGACTTTAAAGTGATTGCAGGGTAAATAAATTATTTATTAGCTACAGCCTCCCAAGAGGCAGAGGCATTAATTAAGGAAGTATCTTACACAGTCAAATGGAGCACAGACCCAGTATGCAGCATTGAGCCCTGACCACTGAGCTCCATGACCAGGCTACTTACTATTTCAGATCATCCAGCACTACCAAGCTGCACTCTTGCCTTGCCCTTTCAAACATTCTACCAGAGAGACTTTTTAAAAGATCTAATTTTAAACTTCTGATTTAAAAAGCAGTTTATGAGATGACAGGTTCACCTTATGTAGTGTGAGTGTAAGTAGGTGGGAGCTCAAGGTCTCGGGCCAGGTTTCTGCCATGGGGACTATCAATAAAGAAGGACTGATATTTTTCAAAAATTTGGAAGAAAAGCATACATTTTAATTTAATTATCTATTAATGAGTGAGAACTTTTTTCACTAGGTAGCTATTTGACATTGCACTCTCAGTTACATTTGTGTACCTTATATTTAACTTGTCTATTGTGTGTGGAGTTACATGGTTTTACATAAGTGCTGAGTAGTACCCAGCTCCTTAAATAAGGAAAGACTAGTATAAGTAGTTACATCTGAGCATAAGGAACTGCAGCTTCAGAATTTATCAGGGCTGACTCTCCTAGAACATTGCAGCAAAAAAATATTACTCCAGTGTAAGTGAAATGTTAGGTCAAATCAGAGAATGAAATACTCCACTTTCTGTCTCTTAATATAGGTTATGAACATTTTTAACTGTAAAGATGCAAACGTAATTGCCATTTTGGGATTTCTGTCTTTGGCTGATAGTTAAAAAAAAAAAAAATATCTCCAAATTCAGCAGGTCCAGGAGCAGTTGTACCATTTAAATCACATAAACTGTTGGATGACTTAAAAAAATGCAGAAAATCATCCAAGGAGATCAGTTCTGATATTGGTGTTAATAAACTAGATAGGGGAAATATCTAGGTATATTGTCTCTTCACCACCTCCATTCCAAATAAGCTAACACTCACAAAAAACACTGAGATTTTTACACATTCTTTATAATCATTCCCCTTACACTATGAACTCACAGAAATAATTGCACATTCATAATGTTGTCACTGCTTCACACCACAGTTTAAGTCCTGAGTATATTTTGAACACAAAAGTCACCTCTGGTAACACCATGAGGCACTATTTCATTTGCAAGATTGTTACCCCGTGCAGCCTATTACTAGTAAGGTTTCTCAATGGCATGTTTGCTTGAAATCACTCGAGGATGCTGGTAGCTTTGACAGAGCTTAATAGTTCTCTGCTGTCCATGTATGTCCATGTATGCCAGATGCTCAGTGTTGTTTGCCATCACCTGTTACTTGTTTGACATAAATTTTGTCAATTGTGGGATTTTTCAACATTGCTCATCCCTTGGAATATGGAAGAATAGGAAATATAAAAGATCATGTCAATCAGTTTGGACATTCAACAGTCATAAAATCCTTTACAGACAGTCCTGAATCAAACCAAATTCATTTTCTACACAGATCTATATGCTCTGTGTATTTCAGATATTTGTTTCAAACATGGGCAGCTGCATGAATGGAAAATATTTACTAAAAAGCTTTAAAGTTTGGATCAAGAAAAAATATTTTTACTTTTGTAAACTCTTGTATTACATATTATTGCAATTCCTATTTGTTTTCTCTGTAGAGCCATTTTTAGTTCTGAAAAATCACTGCACTTAAACTATGTAGATAACTATAATCTTGTTAGCAGTCCTATTTTTAATTGGTGTCACTGCAATTTAGATTTTAAACATTCAGAGATTGCCCATTAGAGCAGATTGATGATTCATTACGGTTTTCTTTAAAATGTTGTAACATAATTTTTACATGTCTGTAAATAAATATTTTCTCTGATTTATGCACTACTTCAATTTTGCAATTTCTTCTCTTAAAATGGGACTCTAAGACACTTTCCAGGAAAAATGTATTTCTCTCATGGAAAAATGGCATTTAAATCTCTGTAGTATAACCATCCTTCACAAACTTTCAAAGCAGACCAAACAGAAGCAGGCATTCTAATATTAAATACCAAACTTCAGTAAAATGGATAAAAATGTTAAACCTGCTATTATTTTAATAGTTTGAGAAATTTAAGCACCAGTACTGTATTAAAAAATTACTGACAAGAAATGTGAACAACTTCCTGAAAAGAGGGAATTCTTCAGTGGAGTGAGAAAGAGGGAGGCACAGTGGGGATATTTCATGAGTTTAAGAAATGCATTTTATTAATCTTGGAAGCTTCTGTTTCATATATAACAAAAGAATTATGAACATAATTTATGAAAATCATGCCAAAAATAGTTATCATTTTCTGCTCAGTATCCAAATCCATTTTTCTTTCATAGTTCCCTATTCCATTCACAAGGTGTTGCTATGCAGGCAAGCTAAAGAAAATTGGTCTACAAAGTTTATGAGAATGATTTTAAATTATATTGGTATTGTTGGGAAGCAAGACTATTTTGAAATATGAGGTAAAACCAGCACAACTTGACAAGTGAGTACAGTAGCTCTGAGCATTTCTCAGCAATTAAATATTCTGGCCACAAGAATGAAAAAGAGAAAATAAAGGCACTTGTGCACAGCAGTTACAGACCTTTGTTTACAGTCTATGACCTTAAAAGAATCAGCTCTGGAAAAGTGGTAAGAAAATCCTCTGAGAGACTGCTTAGAAAAAACATGAAGTGCTTCAGGGAATACAGAGTTGCTGTGTTTTGGGTGGTGGAATAACTCATTTGAAACAAAAATTGCTTGAAGTTTTGTGGCTGCTATAATAGTTACTTTTTTCCTGATTAACCCCTCAAAGAAAGATTGTTGTTCCACATTTGCGCAAACAGAATTAATCTACAAGTATCATACTATTTTAACAGAAAACTAGTTTGCAGAGCATCCATCCCATATAAATCCCACTAACCAAACAAAAATGTTTCTAAAGTTACATTTAAGTCTTTCTGATACTGTCCTGGCTACATGATTTAGCAGCCTAAGGTAATGGAGAAAAAACTTTGCATAAACACTCTACTGGTGTATTACTATATGTGAATATATCTATGGTATGTAGCTATGCATATGTGGAAAAAAATATTCTTCCATTGCTTTGTGCTTTAGATAATTAGAACTAGAGACAACTAAAGCTGTGTAAAATAAGAATCAAACTCATCCTTATTGACAGTCATTAAATAAGTACCTTCATGGTCTACTCCAACTGGATCCTTAAGCAGAAACTGTGGCCAGTGTTCATTCTATGAGTAGTTACAGCAGCATTTAACAAATTATTTAAAGAAAGAAAAAATTATATTGCTACTGATAATATTGCTGCTGCTGCAGGACCACAGTGGAACATGGTGGAGGAGCAGAGGATTTACAGCATGGCAGAGCTGCATCTTGAATCTGGTGCTGAGATCTGAATGAGCATTCTGACCTCAGTCAGAATGACTGAGGAAAATCTTGAGAGGGGATGTTTTGCTCTTGTATTCATTTAACATTTGAAGAAACCTCCCCTATATACTTATTTATTTTCACATGTCTGACAGCATGCCATGATTTTGATGATTCTTTCAACAGGTAAGCTTCAAAATTTGCATGTGATTTTGGTCAAACTTAGTGAGAATTTGACACTTAGCAATAAATAATCAATCACATTAATAATTTACCCCTTCTTCAGAATTTTGGCATTGGTGTTTAATCCACAAGACAAGGAATGGATTTCATAAATATCTGTTTACTTGAGCGGTCACATTAATTGAAAATCCACTTACAATATCATTCCTAATTTTTCATTCTATCATCCTAGTTTTATCATTCTATAGTTTTTCTATCATTCTATTGATAGAAAAGCTATAGATCATAGAACCATAGAATGGTTTGGGTTGGAAGGGACCTTAATGATCACCTAGTTCCAAGCCCCCTGCCCTGGGCAGACTTTTCATGAGACCATCCAAGCTGACCTGGAACACTTCCAGGGATGAGACATCCACAATTTCTTAGTGAAACCTGTCCCACTGTCTCACCACCCTCACCTTAAAGAACTTCCTAATATCTAGGGTTTCTTCTTTCATATTTTTTTCACCAGACAGTGTTTTATATTCTGGTCTCCATCAGTAATCTACATTTAAAAAAGGACACATTTTTATGTAATATGTGATGTCAGGCAAATCAGCATCAAAACATTTCTTAGTTCTATATAAGACAACTTTCAGTGATACGTCAGGAGTTTTACTGTGTTTGTGATGACATGCTGCATTACCTGTAATCAATGTACCAGTGCCTGAAATTGTGTTTTGTAAATCTACCCACTGAGCACTATTATTTAATATTGCTTCAGAGAGAAATTTTATCTGGTCCTGTCTCAAAAACATAAATATGTTTTTTGACAGCAAACTATAAAAAAATCAATTGTACTGATTTCAAGGATGAGTGACCTTTGAAATTTGGATTCTTCTGCAATTACATGAGGATCATTTGTAAGTGAATTGTAAGTTCTGAGTTTTTTGGGGGTTTTTTTTGTAAGCTAACAAGGTGGGGAAACAGTAATCCAGGAATGCTACCAGCTTTTATGGGTCTCATTTTGGTCAATTTGTTCCACACTGGATTTGGATGATTCAAGTCATGTCACAAGATAACGTGATGGAAGCAGACAACAGCAACATGAAAAATAACAAAAATCAATGCCATGGAATTGTATATGGGCATCCATGTAGACAAATGACATTGCTGAATTTTACATCAGATGTAAACTTGAGGTTCAAGAGAAGCTCTATGAAATTCCATTCAGTGCAGAACTACAAAGAGAACACATCTTCTGCTCCTGGTTAATCAAGAGAATGAATAATCCAAGCAGATGTCAGATTTCCAACAGCTTCCTCAGACAGAACTTTTCAAAGATGTCTTACAGGAGACAAGTTAAAACTCTTCCCAACACCTTAAACCCCCTTTATGTGGTCTCATATGTTAAACTGAATTTTTTCAGAGAGGACAAAAGCAGTTAAGCAGTCTCCTCCCAGGAATGAAGAGCATAACAGAATGGCTAAGTGCACACCCACACACACACAACCTATGGACCTGCAAATGGAGCACATCCCATCTCCATGTTCAGGGCTAATGCCTTGAGGGCTGAAGTTGCAAAAAGACAGAACTCGGAGGACTAAAACTCTCAGAGTTTATCAGCTCCTCTGTAAATATGGTTTTAGAAACTGCTTTTCATCACCAAACCTCAAGTAGTCACAGAAGAAGAAGTTTGAATCATTTCTTAGCTACAGAGAAGGGATGTAGCACATGGAGAGGTCATTTAGCCCTCACAGACTTCTATTCTCTATTGGTGACAGCAAGAAGCTCAGAGGACTACACAGGACCCTGGCCTAGTAAAATCATTGCAAATAGAAAGACAATGATGTTACAGATCATCATATATTTGTGTGTCATTATGGACAAAATCCTTAAACTAAATATTTCATATCAAGCTGGGCATAAATTTTCACTGCTGCGAATAATCAGCATAGTAATGGAGTTTAAATCTTAAATCACATTTTCCTTTCCAGCAAATTCCCCAGTAGGGTGGTTCTAAGTTTACAGTGTTAACCAGGTTTTGGAGAAAATATTATACAAAAGCAAAAATATTTAATCTCTTCAAACTAAGACGGTGCCTTCAGCAATGATAATCAGATTTTTGTGGTCTCCATTGCAATGCAGGTGAAAATTTAGAAGAGCATTTAGCAGAAAATACAGAAGTTCATAAAATTAAAAATGAACCCCATTGAGGACTGGTTTGCAGGGATGCTGAGAAAGTTATGCTCACACTTGTGATTGAAAAGTATAGACTTTATTTACCATTAATCACTACAATTGAGCAAGGATCATGCTATTGTAGCATGTTGCCTCTCAAAAAAAATATTTCCACTTCCATATTTTTTACAGATATTTTTGGTTTAAAAATATAAAAATTACCGAGGTATTAATTTTAGTACATTCTCTCTTTTAATTTAGGCAACACTGTATGCCTTAATAAATAAAAATCTCAAAATCACCTGGCTGAAAGATTAAGATTTACACAGAATAACAGAGAGTATGAGAGAGACACATAAGCTAGTAAAGATCTGAACCAATGAATCTAAAACTGAAGCCTATAGAATCATAGAAACAACAAGGTTGGAAAGATCATCTGCCCAATGTCACCACAGCACCATCATAACCACACCTGTATTCCCAGGTGCCACATCCAAGTGGCTCTTGAACATTTTCAGAGATGAGGCCCCACGACCTCTCTGGGCACCTTATTGCAACACCTGACCACTCTTCTGGTGATTTTTTTTTTTCCTAATATCTAATATGAACCTTCCCTGGTGCACTTTAAGGCCATTTCCTCTTTTGATACAGCAGAACAGACCAACCCCTACCTCACTGCAATCTCCTTTCAGGCGGTTGTAGAGAGCACTGAGGTGCTGCCCTGAGTCTCCTCTTCTTCAGACTAAACAACCCCAGTCACCTCAGTTACTCACAGAACCCCTCACCAACTCTGTTGCCCTTCTCTGGCCAGCACTTCAATATCCTTTTGGAAGTGAGGGGCCCAGAACTGGACATAGCACTTGTGATGTGGTCTCACCAGTGTCAAGTGTAGTGGGACAATCACTTCCCTAGTCCTGCTGCCACTATTTTTGACACAGGCCAGGATGCCATTGGCCTTCTTGGCCACTGGGTACATGCTGGCTCATGTTCAGCTGCTGTTGACCAGTACTCCCAGCTCCCTTTCTGCTGAGCAGCTTTCCAGCTACTCTTCCCGCTCCCTGTAACAGTGCAGGGAGTTGTAGCATTTTGTCTTATTGAACCTCATGCAAATTTCCTCAGAACATTGATCCAATCTGTAAAAATCTCT